CCCCCGGGGGGGGAGCCACAGCTTCTGCCCCGCCAGCACGGGCAGCACACACTCGATCTCCGATGCCTCCACCCCGAGCTCGGCCGCCACGCGCTCGGCCAGCGCCGGCGACACGTGCGGCTTGCTCGCAGTCCCGTTCGCACCGTGTCCGTTGGTGCGCGGCGCCGAGCGCGACACCAGCGCATTGATCGTCGGGGCAGCGACGATTTCGCCCATGCCGAGGCGGAGGCCGGCCCGGCGCGCCTGCGATGCAATGCGGATCGCCGACACCGAATCGAGCCCGAGCGACGCCAGCTGTGTCTCTCCGTGCAGCGCATGCGCCTCGATACCAGCCACTTGCGCGATGATCGCCGCCAGCTTCTGGCCGTCCCTGTCGAGCTCAGCGTGCTTTCCGTCCGACGTACCGTTCGACGTACCGTTGACTGAGGCCGTCCTCGTTCCGTTGGTTTCGGCGGGCAAGTGCTGCGGGAACGCAAGCGACTTGCACGCATCGGGCAGCGCCGATACGCGCTCGTCGGCACGCGTAGCCGCATGTTCAAGCAGCGCCTCGAGACGTTGCACCATCTCTTCGAGGCCCGCTCGGTCGAAGCGCGCACTGTCGGCCTTGGCGACAATCGAGACGCGGCTGGGGCCTTGCACAAACGCGACGTTGAGCGTGTACTGTGCCGCCTCGTCTTCTGCCTGCAGCTCGACGGGCTGCAGCTTGCTCTCCGCATCGTCGTAGGCGCGCTGGTAGTCGAACAGCGCATCGAATAGCTGTCCCTGCCCCATGGCCGCTTGCACGTCGCGCAGCGCCGCTCGTCGATGCGCGCGTCCGGCGTCGTTGGCAGTCTGCAGTGCCGCCGCCACCGTCTTGACGGGCTCGTCCAGACTCGCGAACCGGATGCGGGTGGCGACCGAGTTGAATGCAGGACCCACCGCGGTGTCGGCCTCCGGGACGAGGTCGAGCAGGCCGAACAGCTGTCCGAAGCACACATCCCGCGAGCCACTCTCGAGCGTTAGCAGCTTGGCGAACGCGAGGTTGCACAGCACCTGCGGCGAGACGCCGAGCGTGCGGCAGCGCGACTCGAGCTCGGACGCCGTCACGCCCAGCTGGCGCTCGACCAGAACCGCGCTGCCGCGTTGGCTCGGCTGCGGGGCCAGCAGGCACGGCTGGAAGCCAGCTAGCGCATGCGACCAGTGCTGCACATCTTCTTCGCGCGAAAGAAGCGACGGCGCCAGCTCGTGGAACGGCAGACGCGCGAAAAGACGCTGCTCGTCGCCGAAGAGCAGGCACTCAAAGTCGTCGAGTAGCTGCGGCAGAGACGTGCCGTCGTACAGCGCATGGTGGATGCTGAGCATAAGAGCAAGCGAATCGTCGTGAGCCGGCCACACGTGCAGAACATGCGGAGGTCGGCGGAAAGCTTGCTCGTCCTCGAACGAGAGCTGGCCGTCGAGCGTGTGCAGGTCGCGGCGGGCCATGCTGCCAGTGTGCATGACGATGCGCGGCTCGATGCGCGAATGCACCGTCTGAGCCCACGCATGCTCACCCTCCACAGCGTGGAACGAGGTGCGCAGAATGTCGAGGCGCTCGACGAGCTTGGTCCACGCTGCCGACACGTGCTCGGGCGAGAGGCCGCGCAGCTGGAAGGCGTGGTGGTGGAAGTAGAGGCTGCCGCCCGACGCGAGCGACTGAGCGATCATTCCGGTCTGCAGCGGCGTGCAGGGCAGGATGGACACGATCGACTCGTCCGCATCCAGCTTCCAGCCGTCAGCAGCTGCGGTCTCCTCCACGCGTTTCGTCCACTCCTTGAGGCCTGCTTGGCTCGAGTGGCCGTTGACCGATACATCTGAGTTCTGTGCCTGCCTTTCGGCCAGGGCCGCGATGTTGGGTGTGCTGAGAACGTCGGCCACCGTGAACGAGTAGCCGAGCTTTCGCAGCTGCTTGACCAGCCGAATCGCCGAGATCGAGTCGATGCCCAGACGGTGGAACGACGTGTTCCGCGTCACCTCGTCCTCGGCCACGTCGCAGTACTCGGCGATCTGCTTGCGCAGCCTCTCCTCCGTCTCGGTCCAGGCGTGGTTCGACGAGGCCCCCTCGCGCTTGGCGCCAAGCGAGCGCAGCAGCGCAGCGTCGATCTGCTCGTAGAACGCAGCGAGCGCCTTGTGGTCCGTCTTGTTGTTGTGCGTGAGCGGGAGCGCGCTGCTAGTGACGATCCAGTGCGTCGGCACCATGTAAGCCGCAAGCCGCTTCGAAGCCTCCTGCTCGAGTTGCACGCACAGCTGCATCGCAGCGTCGTCTTCGCGTGCATGCATGTCTCCGTTAGCCGGCCGGCTTTCGGCGGGCGCCACAAACGCGACAAGCTGCTTGGATCCCATCGAGGGATGCTTGAGGTACTGCACGTCTGCATCGTGCACGCCCGCCTGCCCAGCAAGAACCGCACACACTTCGTCGAGCTCCATGCGTTGGCCGTTGACCTTGACCTGGCGATCGGAGCCGATGCGGCCAAGACACTCGACGGTGCCGTCGTGCAGGAAGCGTCCAAGATCACCTGTGCGGTAGACGCGGCTACCATCCTCGAGGCGGATGAACTTTTCTGCTGTCAGCTCCTCACGGCCATAGTAGCAGTCGGCTACCTGGGGACCCCCGACTACGAGCTCGCCGATGGCGCCCGAGGGCAGGATACGTTTCGAGCCCTCTTCGAGCACGTACAGGGCCGACGCGGGATAGACGTGGCCGATCGCGTTGCGCGTTGCGCCTGGCTTGACGGGACCGAGCGTGTTGCCGATCGTGGCCTCGGTCGGACCCCAAGCGTTGATGAGCAGACGGCCCGCGCGGCTCCACTCGTCGACGACGCGAGAGTCGATGACGTCGCCTCCGCTCATGAGCCATTCGAGCTGCACGTCGTCCGGATGCACCGTGCCAGCCAGAGCGGCGGGCAGATCGGCGATGGTGATGCCGAGGTGCTGGATCGCGTGCGTGAGATCCTCGAGCAGCTCCTGCTTGGGAGCCGTGCCGATCGAGAAGCCAAGCGACAACGGCATGCACACCTCGATCAACGATACGTCAAAGCCGATCGAGGCGAGCTGCAGGAAGCGCGACTGCTTTGTGAACGGCAGCATCCGCTCCCAAGAGAACAGCGCTCCAGCCATCGCACGATGGTTGATCTGAACCGCCTTGGGCTTGCCCGTCGATCCGGATGTGAACAGCAGGTAGCAGGGATCGTCCAGGCTGATCGATGGCAGCTGCTCGTCGCATCGCGTTGCCACGAGATCAGCAAGGTCCAGCACTTCACAGCTGAAGTCTGCCAGGCCCTTGGACGTGGTGCGACTGGCGATGACGGGACAGTCGTCGACCGACTCGATCATGTACGCCAGACGCTCGCTTGGCAGTGTCGGATCCAGAGGCAGGTACGCCTTGCCTGCCTTCCAGACGGCCAGGATCGCAGCGTACAGCTCTGGGCCTTCCTTGTGCAGATGAATGCCGATGAACTTGCCAGGCTTGCCCACCAAGTGGCTCGCGATGTTCGAGCTCATCTGATCCAGCTCGGCGTAAGACGTGGTTCGAGGGGCTTCCTGCATGTTCGAGGCAAACACGACAGCAGGTGCGTCAGGAGTTTCTCGGGCATGCTCGGCGAATCGCGAAATGATGGTCTCGCTCGAATTCGCGGGTACATAGCAGTCCTTGTTGAGAATGGACAGGTGTTCGTCCTTAGGCTCCGAGTCGATGAGCGTGTGAAGAAGCTGCTCGTACTGAGCCAGCATAAGATTTGCCTGCTCGGCGGGGATCAGTCTCGCATCGAAGGCGAGATGAAGGCTGATAGCATCATCCGTAGCGCTGATCTCGATGGCCAGTGGATAGTCGCGTTCCATCTGGGTGGATGCCTCGGAGAAGAGCGGTGGCTGCGACGTTGCCTCGCTCTGACCCAGGTACGAGAAGAGGGCCTCGAACGGAGTGCGCGATAGGTCGAGCCAGCGCATCAGCTGAGGCAGCGACGTGTGCTGATAGGGCAGCAGAGCATTGATGGCGCGGTGTGCGCGTGTGCTCAGCTGGTCCAGTTTTGCCGACCGAGCGTCGGTCAGGCGTAGAGGCACCGTAGTCACACACGGTCCGTGGATGGACGCAATGTCGTCCACCGGAACGCTTCGACCCGAGAGCACCAAGCCGAGCGTCACATCGTCTTCACCCACATACAGTCCGAGAAGGCTCGCGTAGGCTGCGACGAGAAGCGACTGTACTGTCACCTTGCCTGCCCTAGCCACCGCCTCGAGCTTCGAGAAGGGAATCGACGATGCGATGGCGAGCTCTTTGCTGCGACTAGCTTGCGTCTCGGGACGCACACCGGTCAGATTGGGCACGGGGTTCAGCGAGAAGCCCGACAGCATGTCGGACCAGAACTTCTTCGCCGCTCCGTCGTCTGCGTCTCCGACAATGACGCGCGCAGCGGCTGCAAATGGCGTGGCTTGCGAGTCCTTCGGTGTGCCCGTCAGGCGACCCGATGCCTCTTGCAACAGCATGCGGATCGAGTCGCCGTCATAAATTGCATGGGAGCACGTCAACGAAAGCACGGGAGTCGCATTCGGACCGCGCCACAGCTTGAGACGAAGCGCAGGCTTCTCGTCCATGCTAGCGACAATCTCGCGTGCAGTCTTGGAGTGATACTGCGCCAGCTCGGGGCCGGTCGGAATGGCCACCTCGCCGACGGACCAGCTCGCTTGCACCGCCTCGGGCGCCAATACCACCTGGACAAGGTTCTGCTCGACCTCTGCAAAGACCGTGCGGTAGATGGCATGTCGGGCGAGCGTGCCCAGCCATGCGTCTCGGATCTGCTCGAGCGAATACTCGCGGCTCGCCACATCGATGGTGATGGTAGTGATGTAAGGCGGCGTGCTACTCTCGTTGGCGATGGCCTGGGAGATCAGAGCGGTCTGCATCGGGACACAGGGGAGTGCCATCTCGACCGCGATCTGGCTGAATTGCGGCAACTCCCTTGCTTTGGAGGTCAAGTCCGAGACGCGCTTGTCCCACTTCTCCTGGCCCTGGTTCGTTGAGGCTACGTCGCTGTTCCTTGCTTGGCGAGCGATCGCTTCGATGGTCGGGTCGTTCATGATGGACGCCACCGAGATATGGAAGCCCTTGCTTCGCAGCCGGCTCGATAGCGTCACGACACTCAGACTGTCCAGACCCGCCATGATCAGGTCGAGATCATGGGTGAGCTTGACTTCCGAAGCCAGACGGATCGAGGCCTTCACGATTGCAGCCACAGCCTGCTCGCTGTCCGTGAGCTCTCTCTTCGGCTGGTCGCTCGAGGCGCCGGCATCTGCCAAACGGCTTGGATCAATGGAGTGATAGAGCTCCTTGAGCAGCCGTCTGTCTGCCTTGCCGGATAACGAGGCGATCGGAAGCAAGGCAAGCGGAAGCACGATGCTCGGGACAATGTACTGAGGCAGTCGCGCTCGAACGCGCCTCCTCAATTCAGCCGCGCGAGCCGCAGCTTGACCATCCTGCAACAGCAAAGACGACTTGTCCTGGACCTCGTCCTGCTTCAATCTCGCTGTCTGAGGCGCAAAGAAAGAGACGAGACGGGCAGGCCCCTCGAGTTTGGGGTGGTCGGAATGGATCGTGACCGCTGCGCCGCCCTGGCCGAGCTCCTCGTTCAGACACGTCGAAAGCGCGGCGTCCACCTCGCCAAGCTCCAGACGCGCACCTCGGACCTTGACCTGGGATCCGTCCATCCGGCCGAGGTACTCGGCCTCGTCGCTGGGATGCAGTCGCACCATGTCGCCCGTACGGTAGACGCGTTGTTCGTTGTACTCGACGAACGAATCCGAATCCGGACGGTTCAAGTAGCCTTGCGCTACTTGCTCGCCGCCGATGTACAGCTCGCCAGGTTCACCGCGCAGGGTGGGCACGAGACGTCCCGAGATCTGTTTGAGCACGAGATACTGGCTTCCCGGGAATGGCCTGCCGATGTTGTTGGGACGCGAGCGCTTGCTCACCCGCGCGACCGAGTTGCCGATGGTCGCTTCGCTAGGGCCGTAGGCATTCAGCACCACGGGTCTCTCCGCCCCGTCGCTGCCCCACAGCTGGCACAAGTCCTGTGTGAGTGCCTCGCCGCCGATGATGAGTGCGCGGAGCGAAGGCACATCAGCCGGCTTGACTCGGTCTCCCTTGCTGAAGAACAGCGAAGGCACCACGCAGGCGTGCGTGATCTCGAGCGTAGCCATTGTCTTGGCGATATCGTCGTGGACTAGAGCTCGAGAACCGGTGACGATCGTCGCTCCGACCCTGAGCGAGAGGAAGATCTCGAGAAGGTGGACGTCGAACGCTTCCGCCGACCGAGCGAGGAATCGCGCCGGAGGTTCGAACGAGCCCGGCGCCTCGCGCTCGTACGAGGTGTGGAATCCGTCGATGGCCGCAGCCAGATTGGCCTGCGTCAAGAGGCATCCCTTTGGCTTTCCAGTCGAGCCAGAGGTGTAGATGATGAAAGCAACGTCATCCGGCGATACCATGGCCGCTTGCACTTCGTCGCCACCTTGGACAGCGTGAACTGCACCTCTGAAACGGTCAGACTGGGTGTTGAGTCGCTCTAAGCCGACCGGTGCTTCGGGCACCAGATCGTCGCCCGAACTGATGAGGAGAGCCGCGCCACTGTCTTGAAGAAGCTCCCTCTTCCTCTCCACCGGCAGAGTCGAATCGAGCGGCAAGTACGCATGCCCCGCCTTCAAGATCGCCAGTGGTGCAATGTAGCTCTCGAGGCTGCGCTCAAGACAGACGCCGACGACCGAGTTGCGCGGCAGATGCCTCAGCAGACTTGCCACGCCCTGGCTGGCCTGTTCAAGTTCTGGATACGAAATTGAAGCTGCTGCGCGGCGATGAGATGCCGAATCAGCCACTTCGTGGTAGACCTCAACAGCGCATCTCTTGTCAGCGATCGCCTCTCGGTTCAGAGCGTCTGCGACGCCAGAGAAAGTAGCGGATCGATCCGTCTTGGACGAGCTCTCTTCGGTGATCGAATACAGTCGGTGCTGCTGCTCCTTGTCTTGCGAGCTGTCGCGAAGGAAAGCCTCGATCTTGGTGTCCGAGGAAGCACAGAGAGCGGCAATGCTGCGATCGAATTGGTCGAGGAGCAAGGTGCCGAAAGCGGTGCTGACTAGGCTCTTGTGCCAGCTCAGACCCAGCTGGATCGATCCGTCCGATGCCGGAAGGACCTCGACACCGAGCTCGTGCTCGGTGGCCACGGCGAGATCGGCGAGCTTGGACAGACGGAAGTGCGCTTCGTCCGCTTCGTTCTCTGGCGATGGAGCGGGCTCCAAGACGAACACCGAGTGGAACAAAGGCTCGCCAGGCGCAACCTGAAGCATCTTGCGAATGGCACCGAGATCTGTATGCTGGGCTTCCATGACTGAAGCATGGAATGAGTGAGTGTCCTTGACCAGGCTCTCGAGCGTCTGTTCAGGGCGAAGGACGAAGGGCACAGGCACGGTGGAGAGAACCGGCCCGTATACCTGGTCGAGCTCAGCGGAGGCGGTGCGACCCGACACCGAGTCGCCAAGGACTAGATGCTGCGACTCGATATAGGCGGAAAGCACGACAGCCCATGCGGTTTGAATCAGAGGACGCGCAGAGACACCAAGACGGCGACCAACGGCCTCAACATCTTTCCACGTTACACTCGCCTGCCTGTAGCGCGACTCGTGCAGGTTAGCCTCGGCTGCGTCGCCTTGCGGGGGCTTGATGAGAGACAGGACGGGAAAGTGCACGGATTCGCCCTTGGGGTAGGATGCCAACGCCTGCGTCCATATGTCCGAGTGGCGGCGTGCCTCGCTCTCGTCGATCGGTAGGATGTGCGAGAGCGCAGCGGAGAACTGCTGCGAAGGAGGCGGTGGTTGACCTTCATACAGGGCTTCCACGTAGTCCTCAAAGATGCCCAACGAGCGGGCATCGTAGGTGCTGTGGTGGGCGACAAACACCAGCGAAGACTGGCTGCCCTGCGTGACGAGCAGAAATGCAACCGGTGGAACATCGCCAAAGGGGTCGAGGCGCAGAGACTTTGCGCTTGCCAGGATCGCCTGCTCGCAATCATCATCCTCGCCAATATGGAACTGTTCGATCACCGGCGTGCAGTGCTTCCAGACGACCTGCAAGAAGTGCGGCTGGAAAGGCCATTGCTGGCTGCCCGTGTCAACATCGAGGGAGCCGACGTCGACGAACGAAGTTCGCATACTGTCAAAGTTTTCGACAGTGCGGATGAGGGCGTGACGAAGGCGATCCAACTCGCAACCAGCTGGCAGCTGGTATTGGCGTTGGATGCGGTAACTCGACGCATCGCGTTGAGACTCGGCCAGCATACCCTCCTGCAGAGGCGTGCACGGAAGCACTGACTGGATCTCGGCTCCATCGCACTTTGACTCGGCCTTTTGACGCAGCCATTGGACGACGGGCTGGCGGAAGGCAGCATCCCATCGAGCGAGGAACTCAGCCGCGCGCTCTGCACGCTCGGTGGAGCTGGACTGCGAGCTCGCCAGATGCTCACCCAAAGCCTTGAGAGTCGGGTAGCGGGCGACGTCGAGGACGGAGACCGAAAAGCCTTCTTGCGAGACGCGCTGGGAGAAGGACATGGCTCGGATGGAGTCGAGGCCGACGCTGGTGAACGGCGTCTTGCGCCCGATCTTGGCCGCATCGACGTTGCACAGCTTGGCGAGCCACTTGCGCAGGCAGGCTTCCGCCTCCGAAGGCTGTGCTTGTTCGTCGGCATCGCCGTCATTGGCGAGCTTGTTCTCCCAATCGAGCTGGTCAAATGTGGCCAGGACGTTCTTGAGCGCGACGCGATCGATCTTTGCACTGGACGTGCGCGGGAAGTGCGAGAGAATGACAAACAGGTTTGGCACCATGTAGGAGGGCAGGTTCTGCTTGGCATTGATCTGCAATTGGCGTGCGACGCTGACGGCGTCGTCGTCGGTGCGCAGGAGCTCGCCGGGGTTGCCGCCGGGCAGAGCGGAAAAGTTGATGATCTGCTGCTCGCTTTCGTTGTCCTTCTTGGGAAAGGCCATGGTCTCGGAGTCCTTGATGTGGTCGTGGCTGTTCTTGATGGCGGCGTTGATTTCGAGGAGCTCGATGCGGATGCCGTTGATCTTGACCTGGTCATCGATGCGTCCGAGGTACTCGAACTCCTGATTATCGAGCTGACGCACGAGGTCGCCGGTGCGATAGACGCGGCCGAGCTGCGGGTGCGGGAAGAACTTGTCGGCGGTCTTGACGGGATCGCCGACGTATCCGCGTGCGAGCTGGGGTCCGCCGAGCACGAGCTCACCGACGGCGCCCTTGATGACGACGCGATCGTGCTTGTCGAGCGCATGGCAGGAGACGGTGGGAAGTGCGACGCCAATGTTGGGAGCCTTGACACGGTCGCCGAAGGGCACGCGGCGATTCATGGCAATGAGCGTGGCTTCAGCGGGGCCGTAGAGGTTGAGGAGACAGCAGTCTTTGCTCCATTCGTCTGCGACGACCTGGCTGAGCTTCTCGCCTCCGGAGATGACGACCTTTAGGCTCGGCACGCGATGGCGCTCGGTCATGGCCATAACGGCGGGCGTCAGGAGCGTGTGGGTGGGCTGGATGCTGTTGCCAACTTCGACGAGATCTTGGAGGAGGACGCCGCGTGGGCAGGAGCAGATGGTGCCGCCGAGCCCCCAGGTGTAGAAGCAGTCCATGATGGAGAGGTCAAAGTTGTAGGCCGAGTACTGGAGGTAGCGGATCTGGTCTGTGCCGATCTTGTCCTTGCCGTAGGGGATGTAGAGGCGAAGGGCACGCATGGCCTGGATGATGGCTTCGTGCTGGATGCCGACACCTTTGGGGAGGCCGGTGGTGCCAGAGGTCCAGATCATGTAGGCGAGCTGGTGTATGTCACGAGAATCGAAAGGTTCAGCTGGCGTGTGGATGTGCTGCAGCTCGTCGTCGAGCTGATCGAGACGGATGGCCTTCATGCCGCCTTTGCTCTTGACGTCGTCGCTCTGCAGGTCGTCTTGAAGCTGCTTGGAGATGTTGTCGTCGTGGGTGAGGACGACCTTTGCGTTGGACTTTGCAAGGAGCGCTTGCCTTCGGGAGGCGGGCCAGTCGGTATCGATGGGACACCAGGCAGCTCCGGCCTTGAGCACGCCGATGAAGGAGAGGTAGGTCTCTGGGCTCTTTTCGAGGTAGAGGGCGACGATGTGGTCTTGGTTTGGATCGGAGCTGGCGGAGCCGATGCCGTGGCTCCAGAGAAGCTGCTTGACCTTTTCTGCGCGCTGGTTCATCTCTGCGTAGGTCCACTTTGTGGAGCGATGATCGTTGAGGTCGAAGCGGAAGTCGAGGGCAAGCGCGTCGGGCGTGGTGTTGGCAAAGTATTCGAACTCGGTTTCGAGCCTGTCTGCATGTTGGCCCTGCAGATGCTCCGGGTCTGGCAGATGGGCGTAGTTGGGATTGTCGGCAGCGCGCAGGCTCCAGTCGAAGCGCTCTACGGACAAGGCATGTTGGTGAGCGTCTGCGCGGTAGGACTCGAGGAGAGCTGCGACCTGGCGAAGCTGAAGCAGAGCCGACTGTTCCGAGTGGACGGCGGGGGCGGCCTTGAGTTCAAGGAGGAGCTGGTCGGGCTGCGGAAGGTGGAAGGAGAGGGCGAGCGAGATTTCGGGTCTTGTGCTGAGCTCGAGCTGGTCAAAGCGGCTGGATGGTTGGTGTGCGTCGGCAGCCTCATAGAAAGCAGCATAGCCGAGCTCGAGGCTGTCTGTAGGAGTGCGCCTTTGCCTGGCTGCATCGACAGTACTTGCGAGCTGTGCCGGTGTGTAGTCTGTGAGCTCGCGCTGTTTGTCAAAGTCGAGAGCGAGGATCGATTCGGTGCCTTGATGGGGGATGTGGAGCACCTCGATGTTGGACGCCTCGTGGGAGCCGTAATGGAAGAGGATGGCAGACCATGCCGAGAGGATGGCGAGGCTGAGGTCGTGCTGAGCAAAAGCCAAGGCTGAGCTCGGTGGCAGTGGAAGCGAATGTTGCACTTGCAAGAGCTTGCAATGCTGGCCGACGCGCGAGAAGCCGGGTCCGGAGGTTCGCAGACCCGTCACGTCTGGGAAAGGTGCGTGCGACATGGTGGCTGTCAGAGGTATGCGTCTACATGGTCAATGTCAGCGCTCTTCTGCTTTGCACTGCGGACTGGGTCGGAGGCTGACCGCCGTCAACTCACCCTTTGGATGGAATTATGGCGTCGTCGGGCAGGAGACCCGTAAGAAGACAGAGTGATCGATCGGACTGCTTGCAGGATGGTGGATGCCGTGACTGGATCGGATGCGCCGATGGAGCCAAAGGTCTATAAGGAATCGTTCGAGTCGGGGGTATGTTCGGAAGATCCGACCGGCAGCTCTGCGATGCTGCTGAAGCAGAAGCAGAAGCAGAAGCAGAAGCAGTCTGGCTCCGATGCTGAGCACGGCGAAAGAGGATCTTCTTCTGAAATCCCCCAACAGCCCCAACACGCCGCGGAAGAGCCCGCGAGCTGGCTGGCTGGCTGGAAGGCTGACTGGCAGGCTGTTGAGCTGGACCCTTCTTTTTTTTCCCTAGTCTTGGCCCAAACCGCTCCTCGCTGCCCAAAGGTGGAGGTGACGAGCTGCACCCAGAAAGCACCGAGCGAGTGCATCCAGAAATTGCTCTTCAGTCGGCTCGCCGCGGAATGCCGGCTCGAGCCGAAATGGAATTGGCTGGCTGGGCGGCCAGGCATCCCCACTAGTCTCGAAGCACGCTTCGCTCCGGCCGCTCTTGCGTCACAGCCGCACATCCACCCGAGCGAGCCAGTCCTCGCCCCGATCCATCACCAAAGCATCGTCACGATCATGCCATATGGTCTGCTAGCGTCTTCTCACCTCTGGGAGCTAACACTGCATCGGACCTTCAGGCCGGGGAAATGAGGTCGGCGTGGACAAGCCAAGCCGTCGAGTCAACTTGTGCAAGCTCGATGTGTCTCTCGGCATGCTTCGACTACGCTTTCACGCAGACAATCCATGCGCAGCTAGATCAAAGTTTGACTTTGCCAAGAGGCGTACGTCCGAGAGGGTTGCGCCGGTGGCCGAAGACTGTTTTATCAGATAAACCAATCACACCGCTTCGGGGCCTGGGTCGGCATTGCCGCAGCACTCGTGTCCAAGCAGCGATGAGGCTCGGAAAGAATCGGCGCACCACGTACGAGCTCGAGTCGGCGTGGGCACCGGCGAGGGGCCGTGCACGCCGCCGTGCTGATTCACGCAGATGAGGTGTGATCTAATCAGATGGGGCGAAAATGAAAATTTTTTGCCCATCCCCGAAAGACCGCGTTGCTGCCTCTTTGAGCTTCTGGCGTCATTGCAGGCACACGCTTCGTCTTTGCTTCTCCAGGCTGGGCTGAATACTGAACCGCAGTGTCGGTTCCGGGGATCACTGTCAACCGCATTTTTCGCCGAGATGCGCTGCAAGATGCGGCTTCATGCGCGAATTGTGTTGCGTCGGGCACTGCCGAGGCTCATGCTGCTCGCCAGCCCACACCCACAGGTCGGAGTTGGACCGGAAACAACTGGGCCGATCACTCAAAAGTTCCACGGCTGAGGCGGAAGCGAGGATGATGAATTTTTTATCAGATGAGAGAGCTGGACTGGCGCGATCTTATCCGATTGGAAGAACCGAGGGATGACCTCATGCACTCGCCGCAAAGTAATTTCGCTTAACAAAGTCTTGGCTGTCTTGCTGAACTGCATGTGCTGCAGCTCTCCCTTGCACTAGTGCAAACTTCACTTCTTCCACGGCAACACGTTTGCCAAGAATGCCAGCCGCAGCTCGTGCCAATTGTTCCAAGTGCAAACGCAAACCATGAGCCCTCGCTTCGGACGCCAACTTGCCGAGCCACACACGCAATCACACCACACCCTTCACACATGATTGGACACGCTACGCCATGTGTATGCGTTGATGTTATGACCCAGCATGGCTCTTTTTCTTCTGGGTAGGATGCGTTGCTTCGGTCGTGACGGGAATATGCACTGAGCTCTCACCACTTGCCAACCTCGGCTGTGCGTTGGGCAGACCCGATTGGTCCACGGTGGCGAACTTTGTTCTGCTTTGCTCCTTGTCGAGGTTCCATGCGATGGAGTGCGTGCAGTTCGGCGGCTCAGTGCGGTGGATGAGCCGAGCTGGCGGGTGGAATCGCGCCGGGGCGATGGCCGAAAATTTTTATCAGATTAGCCAGCTCCCTGCCGCCCTGAGTGGGACCAAGGTGACACGACGCCGGTTCCTCGATTCCTTCTGCAACTGTGACGAGCAAGCCGCTCAGCCGAGAGTGATCGCTTGCTCAGCTCTGCCTCGGATCAACCACAACCGAACTTTCCCCAACCTTGCTCTGTTTTCCGAGCACTCTCCACGACCTCTTCACGAGCCGACTTGGTGTAACTACAAAACAACGCTCATCTCAAGCGCCTTCTCTCCTCGGAACCCCCACCAACTTCATCTCAGCTAGACATACGCTTGCGACATTGTCATAGTGTCGCTCAGATCTATTGCCAAGGTATGTACCTCAGAAGCACTCATTGCTAGGCTTCCAGATACTCCGGTCGCCCGGTCCATGCTGGCACCCGATGCGTCCCCCCGATGCACGGTCACCCTCATCGCCGATGCTCTAACATCCAGACGGCAAGGATCAGATGCCGCTCGATTACGGCAATGCCCACAAGGAAGCAAAGCCTACAGATCTCGCTTGGAAAGATGCACTGGATTGCCGGGTTCGATCGCGAGCGGCTCATGGAACGTCGCTTGGAAGCCGTAGCTGTCTACATCCCGGCACCCTCGGAGCGACCACAACCCTCGGCGAATCTACTTTAGCATGGATGTGGACGATGGCGTAATTGGAAGGCCATCGAGCGACAGACATGCTTCGCTAGCGGAAGCGGGATCCATGACTGACCCGATTGCACCCTCTCCCTTCGAACGCCTCCATGAAATTCTCCAACCGTCGCCAGTGTTGCAGCCGACTAGACGAAAACATGAGCCACCCCACGATGGCTGGATCGGATGTGGTAAGTACAGATCTCGCCTCACGAGCAGTCAAGGATTCCACCGTCGTCAGATTCAGTTCCGTTACTCCAGCCAGGTGCCCGGCTCGATGACAGTTCGAACCCCACACAAACGGTCATGACTTCATTTCGCTGTCTCCATGCCGCGACGGGTGTCAAATAGCGAGAGCTTCTTTTCGCTCCGAACCCCAGCCGCACTAGCACCGCGCTCCGGGGCGCCGAAAGGGTTCTCGGCTCTTGCTGGCACCAGAACGTGCCAGCTTCGATGTCAGCGCCGCGCTCCGAGCGGTCTCGATGCTAGCCCCAGACCCGGCATTGCCACCCAGGTCTGATCCAGTTGTCAACAGACCGCATCCCGGCGTCACCGTTGCGTCGCTCGCCGTCGCCCGTGGACGCGTTGGTGTGGCTCGAGTCGCGTCGACCAATCAGAATCGTGCTATTTCCAACCCGTCATCGTCTCGTCATTTCTCCATCGACACTCTTCACCAACGTTCCGTCCATGGCGGGCCTCGCCCAACGGCACTGGGTAGCTTGCATCGCTACACCCGTAGCCCTGCACGCTGAAGCCCAGCATGGTGCCTCACGGTGCATCTTGGGCGACTACGAGTTGCCGCCGAATGCTGGAGCTCGATCGAGTTTTGGGCGGGGGCTGCCTCCACATGCACACGTCGATGTCGACAAATCCACTTTGGCAGCGGCTGCACTGGCTCGGCTGCATCGAAGCAGAAAGTGCGTTTGTCAGCCAGGGTGGTGGCATGGATGCAGACGTTCATAGTCCCAAACGTCATGGCTCCCGCTCGCCCATCGGCACGTCGGTCACGTTCGGTCTTCGGGCCACCCACAATCCTCCTGTCCAAGTGCCTCCGCAGCCAGCTGAGCATTCGGTCCGCACCGCCATGATTTTTGGGTATTCGCACTCCGCCCTCCTTGCCTCGACGGCATGCCACTGAACCGTCATGCCCGATCTCCCGCTCTGAAGACGCTCGGCATGAGGCGCCCGGACGCATTGCCAATAGCTGCGCTCTGATTGGTTCCAGTCGCTCGCCGTCGTCGTGCAACCCAGACTCGCTCTGTCAACAGTGTTCGCACTGGCTCGGCGCCCCTCCCCCCTCCTCGATCGCAGTCACGGCTTCTGGCGATTCGGCGCGAGCGCTTGGCTTGCGAGCTTAGCGTGCACGTTGGCCACCTCCTAGCATGCCTTTTCGGAGCGGGCGACGGCCCGAGATGCTCCAGACTAGTGGCAAGTGCGAGGAAAGGGTCAGGGTCCGCATAACTGCCGTTCAAGCCGCCGATCCCCAAAACCTGGGTGCTTGTCTTTCATGAGTGTCATGGCTGCCCCCCTTGCTTAGCAAAAATCCCGCCCTAGCGGTTCGACGTCCAGATCATGCTTCTTTTCTCCCTTCTCCCTCCCGGCCTTTTCTCGACACGACCACTCGCAATCACTTGCCTTCACCGCACGCTTCTTTGCATCTAGCTTGCACGCCCGCAAGCAGGTTCGACTCGCTCCGAGCTTGCTTGTTATATACGCAACGACACCCTGCCTTGTCTGACCTTCGACTGCTCGTGCTCGCAAGTTGTTCCACCTCATTGTCGCACATCTTCTCATCCCAACGCTTGCATCCGCTCTCTCGCTCTGAATTCCGAATCAATAGGAGCCTCTGGCCGCATCCACCTCGTCGCTCGACAACATGAACGGAGTAAGTAGCATCGTTACCTCGACTGTCTCGGCATCTAGACTGACTCGTATGCTCTGTGCTTGATCAGATCGCATCTTCGCCTACGGTGGTTGGCAAGGACGAAATCTACGACCTGCTGGGCATCGGGTATGGGCCTGCGCATCTGGCGCTGTCCATCGCGCTGCGCGAGTCGGCCGAGGCGGGCGAAGCCAACTTCAAGGCGCACTTCCTGGAGCAGCGCGCGCACTTTGCATGGCATCCTGCGCTGCTGCTGCCCGGGTCGCAGCTGCAGGTGTCGCCGCTCAAGGACCTGGTGACGCTGCGCGATCCGACGTCGACGTACAGCTTCTACAACTACCTCCACTCGCACGGCCGCCTGGCGCGCTACATCAACAAGGAGCAGGGCGTGCCTAGTCGACGCGAGTGGACTGCTTACCTCGCCTGGGCCGCACGTAGGATGGCGGACGCAGTATCGTACGGCCAGAACGTGATCTCGATCGAACCGCTGACCATCGTGGCGGCCGAGGCCAAGCAGCACGAGGTGACGGTTAGGCAGGCGGATGCGGAGGATACATTGTGTCTGTACCGCGTCACTACGCGAGAGGCCGACGGCGGCAAGGTGGTGCGCTATGCGCGCAACTTGTCCGTCGCCGTCGGTGGTGTACCCAAGCTTCCGGCTGCGTTCGAAGCGGCGTATGCGCAGCAAGCCGAGGGGGTGGCGCGCATCGTGCACTCGGGCACGTACTTGCCATCCATGCGCATGCTCGAGCCCAAATTGCACGAAATCGCCTCGAAGCGGCAACAGAGCGCGGGCGATGCGGTGGACGACTCGTCGCGTTTGCGTCTGGCGGTCATCGGTGCAGGCCAGTCGGCTACCGAGATGCTGATGAACCTGCACGCGCGCTTCCCCACTGCGATTGTCACGATGGTCTTCCGCGCCTCGGCACTGGTTCCTTCGGACGACACGGGATTCGTCAACTCGGCTGCGTTCGACCCGGAGCGCACCGACGAGTTCTGGCACGCGAGTGCGAGCCAGCGCCGCGCGTGGCTGACCGAATTCAAGCGCACCAACTACTCGGTGGTGCGTACGGATCTGCTCAACGAACTGCACGACACCATGTACGACAAGTTCAGCGTGCAGCTTCCCGACGAGCTGCAGGACGTCGACGAGAAGCACGCCGGTCGCATGGAGATGCGTCGCTGCACCGAAGTCGACCACGTCCGACTCACCGAGGACGGGGTAGAGCTGGAGCTGCGCGACAAGTTGCGCAACGGGAGGGTGGAGAGGGTGGTGTTCGATGCGGTGTTTGTGGGGACTGGATTCGTGCGTTCGCCGAGTAGGATGGCCTTCCTCGAGCCGCTGCGCGCGTTTTACCCCGCACTGGACGGCGAGTGGATGGGGCGCGAGACGGGGTCAGAGGAGGACGAGGTGGCGAGGCTGGTGGATGTCGAAGACGAAGAGGTGCTCGAGCGCAGGCGCGAGAACATTCGCGGCATCACGAGGGATTACAGGCTCGTGGGCGCTGCCGCTATGCGTTCGGCACTGCGAAGCGGAAAGGCTTCGCCCGCAAGCGATGCCTCCTCCACCTCGTCGCAGCAGACGCTGGCGAGTCAGGCCGAAGAGCGCAATCTGCCCGAACCCGCGCTGTACGTCCTCGGCGGCAACGAGGCAACTCACGGTCTGTCGGATAGCTTGCTGTCCATCGTTGCACACCGTGCAGGCGAACTGTCAACATCGCTGCTTGACAGACTGCCGCGCTCCAGAGCGGCTACTGCCCCCTCCACCACATCCCCACCCCCCACGCAGACGCAGACGCAGACGCACAAGATTCAAAAACCCCTCACTCTCCCAGCCCTGCAGCACATGTCGCTCAACTAACCGCATCGTTTTCGTTTTCGGAATAATACAAAGGACTTGCATTCAATCGTCTACATCGAGCTGTCTCCAGCTGTTTTTCATCTGCTGTTTGGCGGCCTTTGCCTTGTTCATTCGCTCGAGCACCTTGGTTGCCGCATTGAACAAGCCGCCTGTCTGGGCACCGCACGCAAAGCACTTGGACGTCTTGGCGAACCTGGCCAAAGCGCAAGCTTCGCAAAAGTAGTGGCCGCACTTTGTCACCACTGGCGCACTAAACGCGTGTCTGCAGATCAAACATGCAAACGGCACCTCCTCCTCGTCCTCCTCCTCGGGATCGGAAAGTAGCACGTCTTCCCTTGCACGCGAGGACGAGTTTGGTAAGTCGAGTTGCCAGCCGGCGAGATAGTCCGATCGGTCGTGGAGGAACTTGCACGTATCGCCGAAGCCGCAGTATCCGGTCTCCTTGTAGTCCTTACACACGTCCGGCTGGTAGTCCATCAGCGAGGTTGTGCGGACGGTGGTGGTCTGGCGAATCGGACCGCGTGAGCGCATCTTGGACGACTTGCCGTCATCCCGCGCAGCAATGTACGATGCATACCCCTTCGAACCCCTGTAGAGGCCATCTGCATTGCTGGCCGACTCCCCCGCGTCGGCGGGGGTGCTGGAGTCAAGGTCCCAGTTGCTATGCCGTGTGGCATCGTCTCGGATCTTCTGCAGACTCGTAGCTGCTGTGCTGGCTGGTGCAGCAGAGTAGGAAGGGTAGATGTCGTCTTCCGAGTCAGGCGCGGTGTCGGGGCGGGGTTGCTTGCGTACGGCGCCAGTGGACTGGACGAGCGGATTGTGGTTTGTGCGCTTCTTCTTGGTGACTACGGCGGATCGTGATCGCACCTCGTCGCCCGAATCAGCATCGCTGTCCGAGTCGCTAGAGCTTGTGTTGAGCACCGCCTGGGAAGCACGAGACGGCCCGGGCGCTGCGCTGGATGAAGACGTCGAGGGGCTCGCAGTGGCGGCAGGTGCGGCTCGAGAGGGTGGGCCGCGCTTCCGCTTGAACGTCACCACGGGCTCTGAGGCCGCTGATTGTGTCGATGCGTCCATATCTGCACCTCGAACGCCGCGTGTGAAGAAGGACGATGGTGGCGAGGCAGCAAGGCTAGTAGCGGCCAATCCAGGGTCTATCCGGTCCAAATTTGTTCGGCTCTCGGCGTTTAGAGGCTCAGTCGCGATGGAAATGTGGAGTGCGGACAGTCTTTCGTGCGAGAAGAGGTCAGCCAGCAAGACCCTGCCGAGCCAGAATGGAAAAATTGGCCTTTTTTTTTGGGTGGGCTGACTCGTTCTCGTCTTCGGGAACGTGAGCAGCTTCGGTGCAGTTTTCCAGCGGCTGTTGCGGTGGGGGCCCCGAAAATTCACCACTCGGGCCACCTTTTTCTTTTTTTTCCTTTTTTTTTTTT